GGCTGATGAAAACAGTACTTCTGTGGTCTGATGTCTAAGATGAAGAATAGGAAGGAGGCAGATAATTATTAAAAGAGCTTCTGAATGCTTGTCAGAGTGAGAAAAAACGGTTCGGCTTTCCCTTTTTGGTCTTACTTCTCGTATTTAAGCAGCAGTGTTTTCCCCAACACCGCAGCTTTGTTTTGCTTTTCTATTTACTGACTTTGCAGGGCAAAAGAGTTTGGGAGAGAAATAACTTGCCGAAGAGATCCTGTAATTAATATAAACTGCAGGAAGCAAGTGTGACAGATGAGTTGAAAAGGCCTGTGTTCTGTTGCTTATCTCAAGTGACATATGGTCCTAGGAGTACAAGCAAAGGCACTGGCTTGTGCGTTGTTATTTTTTTTCCTTCGTTCCCTCTAGTAGAAGGCAGAGAAGGGCCATGTGTTAACAGAGCAGCGACGTAGGGGCTGAAATAACACTCCTTGAGGAGTGAGTGGGAAATTTAGGGGATTACAGAAGAGCATTTCCTCGTCATTGAGACTCTGTGCCATTTTTTTCTTAGTGTCAGGCTGTGTGAATCGCCGTTGTGATTTTTGAAGTCTAAGAGAAAAAAAATCTTGCAGAAACAAACTATTTCTGAAGCACAGATGTTAAATGATTTTCAGCTAATGTTTTTCATGCTGGCCAAAATAGACTGCAGGACTGCAGTTTTATTCTCAGGCTTCAGTAAAACAGCGAAGTGGTTCAGTTGCTCTGGCCAAAGAAAAGGTACGGTTTGTATAAAAATAAATCTTTAGTTGTATTCTGGAGGTCAGAAACCTATGGTTAGTTTATAGTAATATTAATTGCACTTTTTCCTGTAAACACTGCAAACATGTGGTCTGACATTCAGGAGGTGTAACAGCAATTTATCCCCAGTTTTTCCTAGTTCTGCCAAGAGCTAATCATTTTGATATAAATCTGACAGGAGAAAACTATTTTGGTCACTGTGGCTTCATAGTTTTGGAAATCACCATATTAAGTAGCTCATATTTTAGTAGAACTATTCAGTTGCGGATAAACCTACAAGCCATTTGGGACCCAATCTGGTATATTTTCTCGAGTTATTTCCCAGTTTTCAGTGAGTCTTACTGCTCTTTTAATGAGTGTAGAATATAGCTGTGTATTTAATTAGGGCCATTTGGTTTTCCTTCCTCCTCCCCACCTCCCACCCCTCCCCCAGTTTTTTTATCTTTCTACTTGTGTTTAGATTTCGCTCATTACCTATTTGTTAGGCAGTCTGTCTTTAAGGGAAACATACACTGAAAACATTATCTTGGTGGTGCTGCTATAACTGGGAAGGGACATTAGCTCCTTGATTAGTTGCTGCCCCATCTCCCAGAGCCACAAACTTCAGAACATGGGACATGGCTTTGTCCAGAGGCATTACCATTTCATATCACCCCTGGCAACAAGCCTTCCTAGCATTTATTTTATACCAAAGCTGGAGCAGGATAATGTTCCTAGGGAGGCAAGGGGAAGAAAAGAAGCCAGAGCTTTTTTAGCTGACTAGTCAACTGAATATTGACCAACTGTCTTCATGAGAAAGAAATAGATGGTGGTGAATAAGCTCGAGTCTAGTTTTCCAAGAAGCTCAACGATTTTCCCAAATCGATACAGCTCATCAGGCTTCAGAACAAAGGCTGCGGGGGACATGACAGTGATGGAAGCGGCAGTGTGCTCTTTTGTGTACTAAAGCACATGGGCCCATGGGGAAACAGGCCTTCGTTGGTTATTTCAGTGCTTATTCTTCTGTATGCTCTGGGATAGTTTAGATTTAAAATACATTTATTATTATTATGAGGTGGGATGAAAAGGTGGTCTCCCTGATGACCCAACTCAATGGCCTCGAGAGGCTCTCCTCCTCCTCCCCATGTAATTGCGGCCACCTCTCTGCACATCAACAAGAGTTTGCTGTGTGAGGCCGAGCAAAAACCTATGTTTTGCTCATCTCTCATTAAAGGCATAGCAGAGCTCTCTCAAATGAAGGTCGTGGTTGCTATTTTACATAGCCTGTGCTATGTAAGACTTCCCAGTTAAAAGCGGAAAGAAAGGGCATGACATTTGGGTATAGCACCCCTCAGATTTAGCCTGGTGTTATTCAAAACCCACTGGAAATCTCACAGTTACAAATTAAGCTTGTTTTGCCATGGAAGAGGCTATAATTTATGTGGCTCAAGTAATGCCAACCTGCTTTAGCCACCAGCAGGGCAACATTATCTAAGCTAGCAGTTTTTAGCCTTTCAGCCCTCTAACCTTTAAGCTTACTGTGCTTTCATAAAGCAGTAAATTAACACACCACATCGAAGTGTCTCAACGGTTTATGACTGCAGCAGCAGTATTTCATTATGCTTCTTTTCCTTAATGCTGCTGAGTCTTCTCAGGTTCACTGCTGTACATTATTTGTTCAAATAAAGTCCAATGTCCAGGATGACTAATTGCAGATCTGTGCTCCAGATGGTTTGATTACAGGATGTGGTTAAAGCGGCTCTGCAAACATTCAGCTCAGCAGTAGGGCGCTTAAAAAGAAAAAAAAAATCCTGAGTCCTGAGTTTTCTGGCCACCTGACAGTCATTACACCCACAGCCTGGCTGCTCTCGATGTCTGCTGCGTGTGCACCTGCTGGAAAGCAGTTAAGTTCTTGTGCCATGTCAGGCACAGCATATGATTAAGGTAGTAAACAAACTGTGTGGCTACTGGATCAGTATTCAGCACAGAAAGCTTGACTTCATATGCACAATGTGCATTGTTTTATTTTAGATTGCCTCCTTGATGGAAGCAATCAGGAAAAAGGGGGGCATTTGCGTTGCAAGCCTTGTGTAAATTTTACTGTGTGGGTTTTATGCCCAGATAGATGGCAGGTGGATCTGGGTTTGATGAGGATCTGGTGGATTATGGGAGGCAAGCGAGTTGCTGCATTTTCTGCAAAAGCAATGGCAATAAAAAAAGAGCTTGAGATGATCTTAAAGTTCCAGGTTTTCACCCTGCTGCTTTTGGTACTTTAAATGCTTCAGTGCAGTTAGAATAGCAATGTCAAGTAGGTATGTGTGGGATTAAGATGTCGACAGTGCCACATGCAGAATTAGATGTGTTTAATGCATGATGGCAGTGTACTTGCAGGTAAAGCATGCACCATGATTTGGCTATGCCAAGGTGCATTAGGATTGTTTGTACTTAGCAAGGCTGACACAAAATTGAATTTAGCTTGCAAATGAATTTGTGTATTGACTAATTGTAAAGACATGAGCACCTGATTTTGCTCTGATTTTATGTCAAGTGATAATACTATGCCTTTCCAATATTGAGAATTGCAGCTCAACCTTGAAGACCTACCGTGTACCACAGGAGTAGTGCGAATTTCCAATATATCTTTTTAATAGTAATCTTTTAAAAATTACTTCAAAGCACAGTATAATTTAGTGAGTCTTGCTTTGGCATCAGCAGAAGTTGTCTAAAATAATGTTCAGCATTAGTAAAGGCAGGAGACAGAACTGTTATGCAAATAGGAATTTTGACTGCACTGATGTTTAAACAGTAGTTTTGATAACTGAAAAGCAAGCAAACAATTCCTTCAATTGGAAGATCATCTTCCACAAATGAGTTACGTACGTATTCAGAAAGCCAGTGTGCAGATCTGTTTTTGCCAAAATTTTGCAGTTACTCTGGGCTGGATTTTCTATTAAGGAAAAAGCTCTCTCATTACAGAAATGAACCCTTACCCACTCACCCTCTCGGATAACTTGTCTTTTGAGTTGCCTGGGAAAATAATCAGCTTTAACTAAAGCGGAATTTTGTAGCATTTGCTCTGATCTGACACCAAAGCAGCTATGCTGTAAACATTAAGTCAGGCTTTCCAGCCTAATTAATTGAGTAATGTCTACTTATATTGGACTCTGAAGGTGTTTATTTTCCAAAGCCAGCTTTTTCAAAAACTGGGTCCTGTGTTGGAGCTATTAATGTGATAATTTGATTCCTAAACACATGATCTCATTTTCAAGGTTTTAAATACAAAAAATCTTGGCTTATGTTTATTGCTGTGAAGAAGGGGGAGTCATGAAAGCAGAAAAACTTTGTGTCTTTTTTAGTCTAGATCCTATGGTCCCTTTAGTGTTGAAAGAAAGAACATCTGCAGCAGCGTGTCTTGGTAGGTGTGAGTAGACCCTTACCAGCTTGAGGTTGCATCTCTTCTATACATCAAGGTAATTAATGTGCACAATATCCTGGGATGGTGCTAAAGATGTCTTGTCACTGCAATTTCTATGTCAAAACTTGTTTTTGTGTTGTTTTCTTTTTATTGTTCATATAACCACTGTAAAGATTTTCAGCACCATTTTCAGGTATGAGACCTACAGGAGATCAATATTATACAGCTAGGACCCTAAGACAGGGCACTGGATAGTATTCATAATTTCAGTCTTGTGTAAATGCACATGTTATGTCTTAAATTGTTTGCAGCACAGAGTTAAATAATTTAATGATAACTTATACAGAACCTCTGTGAATCATTTTTGTTGTTATTGTTAAAGTGCTTTGGAAGGAATCTAGATATCTTTATTTCCAAGTTGTGGTGACATACTTTATTCTCTAAATTTATTTAATAGCAAATAGCCAACGACATTTTTAATGCTGCTCTAACTATTCTTAGGTGTCTTTTTTTTGCCATGAATCGAGCATCCTACCTTGTAGCTCTGAATGTGATGAGTAAAGGAAAAAGCTTATAAAGGTACATCCAGTGTGAAAGAAAACACCAAAATACAGACTCTTTCCTTTCAGAGGCTGACAAAATACCCCTAGGTGATAGAGGAGTAACAGTGTAGGGTATTGGGTAATATCCAGCGTGCACCTTCCCTTTATGTTAAGGCTTTTGTGTATGATTCTGTCTTGGCTAATAACAGATTCGGGGAGAAAACATGCTGGCTAGTCTAAGTGGTTGAATTGTAAAACTTCTAGCTAACGTGACTCTCTTTTTCCTGTACTAGATTGTGTTTGATGGTGCTTGAGTGTATGTTTACTGGTCGCTCTATCTGCTCCTCAGTAGTTAGAGTAGCAGATAGAGCCATCAACCATAGGTGGTAACTTTTGCACCACTGGAAAGCGTTCTTGTTCTTGGCTGCTTTGATTTAGGATTTAGTGAGGTTGCCTGAATTGCAGTCCTAGAGTCCTTAAGTATCCTATATTACAAGCATATGATATTTTTTTCTCCCGTTTTGCAGTAGTGGTTATTTTGAATAGTTTGGCTTTTATTTATTTATTTATTTTGTCTTTTGTTTTGCTTTTATGTGAAAATGCATTTCAGTATTTGGTTGGTATGAAACCTGTGGGTTCCTCCAACTCTCTCCCCATTTTCCCTGTTGTTGAGACAAAGCTAAAGAAACGCTTATTACAGGTCTTATAGCCTAATGACTTGGACCACCCTCCACGTTACAAAGGTTTCTTATATCTTGATGCGGCCTCGTTGTGGTTTGGTCTTGGTAAGCAATGACACCCGCGCGGGAGGGCCGCCAACAGGTTGGCCCAGGGCTAGCTGGTCTGTGGCTCCGTGCACTGCAGGCTCAGGGGCGCTCCTGCTCCTCGGCGTGTGCTGACGACTGCTGCAGGGTTACTCACGTGCTGCTTCCTGGAAAGAAATCCGAGGACAGAACCTTGTTTCTAAGTAGACTCCCATGAGCTTTTTGCCAAGGACAAATATTTTGGATCAGAGAAATGTGTAACAGGACACCCAGCCTGGATGCAGCAAGGATAGTCCTTCCCCTTCTCTAGCTGCATCTTTCTGTGCTCCTTTTGCACTTTCCAGTGCTTTGGTCTAATTACAGTCTTGGGTTTCCTGAGGTCCTGTCTCCTGCATTACTTCTATTCTTTTGACCCATTTTTACGATAGTTTTGATAAATTAAATGAGCTCCCTTTACTGCTTGTGCTGTGAAATCATACCTGTGGCTGAGTGATATGCTTTTCATTAAGGAAAGGAATTTATTCCTTGTGACAGTTACTCTAACACAGCGTGAGGATTAATTTTCCCTCCTACTTGCATATAGAGGCCTCAGCTAAGACCAACAGAATTAATAAGATAATAAATGCAGCAGACTTTAAAGGAGGAGCTTGTTCATGTTTACTTTGAAGTATTGACTTTTTCACACTGGAAGGTCATTTGAATATCTTCTAAGAATTACTGAAATAGTTGTTGATTTCAGCTACTTTTTCTTGTACCTCTGCTTCCTGCTTTCTGTTTTGCGTTCTGTTAACAGTCTGCCCATGGTTCTGCTGCACAAACTGATGAATAACAGTGCACAGAAAGAGGCAAGATATGTTGAGGGAGGATTATTTAGGAATGCAACAACTGCATTAGAAAAAGTAAAGGTGGGTTATTAAGAAAGGGAAAACAGTGCAGAAACGTGATCTCCCATGGGAGGCGGGGAGCCCTCCTTGCCTCAGAGAGCAGGAGGACGTGGTGAACTGGGGGAAGGTGGGCTGTGTGGCATCGCAGGCTCCAGGGTTGGAAAATACCCATCACTTTGCACCCCTGCTGCCTCTGCAGCGGGCTGCTGGTGTTGGAAGGGGACAGGGTTTGGCCCTGACTGGAAGGTGGTTTTGTCTTGGGTCCCCTAGGCAGTGAGCTCCCCACCCCCCACAGTGTGTGAAGCTGAACCATCATCTCGTCATAACAAAAACTTAAGAGCATACAGGGAATAATTTTCAAAATCTGCTGTTGAGAATTTTCAAGGAAATCCCTTCTTCCCATATACGTCTGCTAACAGCACTTCAAATACTTCCGCGCTGTTAAAAGGTCCCCAAGGAAGTAAGCTGCCAGTTCCATGTTTGCTTTACCTTGGTGCAGCGCAGAGGGAGAGCCTCAGTGCAAAAATTAGAAATCATGGGCGACCCAGCAGGGCTGGAGACACCTTGGCACTGTGTCAGTATTATATCCCTCATGGCGAGTGGAAAAGCTGGAGCTAGGACTCGGGGAGCGGAGAGGAGGAGGCCTGGAGGCTGCGATTTGCTGCCTCTCAGAGACATTTTGCAACGAACATCTTTGCTGGGCTTCTTAAGTGGGGGGGTCTTGTTAAGTGGGGAGACCGTCCTTTGGTGCCTTTTCCCAAGGGCTCAAGAACAATTTCCTGGTGTTTGCCCCTGGTAGCTAATGAATTAAAGGGGTAAATACATTGCCTCGTCCATGAACATGGTAATAAATTATCTCTGTGAAGCTGAATTTGAGAGGAGTCTGAAAACGCTTGGCTGATCCTCCCCTCCCCCTTTCTCAATTTTATTTAGGACATCATTACCATGTATGCATTTTACACAGATGGTTTGAATAAAGCAATAAGCCTGCCTTAGGTGGGGAGATGTATTTACATTTTAAGAGAAGTCTTAAATGGAAAAGCAATTAAATGACACAATGCATTTTTTAAAGCAGCTCTCTTTCTAAATATTTATATTTTGATTCCTCTTAGCTTTACTGTAAGCCTGCAATTTCTTGCTAAATTCCTCCCTTTCCACAGTGGAGAAGGCAAGGCAAGTAACACAAGTTGCCATCTCTCTGGGCTGAGCAAGCCTTACAGTGCCTTCATATGCGTGTGTTTCTGTGTGTTTAGATATATGCAGTTTCAAATAAATAGAAGCATCATTATCATATTGTTTAACGCAAAGCAGATTCCTCTCTGTCACCTCCTGATTTAAACACTGTAGCTGGTCTTCAGTTTATGCTGGCTGGCTGCCAACCGAAAGCAATTATGTGCAATAATAGCAAAATTAAGAGGTGAGTGTTGCCGTTTTACAGCAGGACATGGCAAAAACCATTTCCTTCTGTCAGCTGTATCTTGACGGCACACGCTCGTGCAGTAACACGCCGGCTCCCACGCACACGTTTGCACACACACCCCTGTTCCTTCTTGCTCCCTCTCTTTCCTGTGGGTTTCAGCTTGAGGTCACCAAAACCAGAAAAGAGGAAGAGGACCAACCACAGCTTTTGAAAGCGAATGAGAATAAGCTTTCACTTTGTGTATTGAGGGGAAAAAAAACACACACACACACACACAAAAACCCTCCCCTAGTTGTTATTCTGGCTGCGATAATACTTTGTTTTTCTCCCACCGGCAGGTGTTCTGGTGGTAAATGTTACATGGAGGAACAAGACCTACGTGGGAACGCTGCTGGATTGCACAAAGCATGACTGGGCCCCTCCCAGGTAGGCAAGCGCTCTGCGCTGTCCCTCCCCCTCTATCCCCATCAAGAAAATGCACAGATTAATAAAAAAACAACTGGGTGTAATTGAAAACATGCGTCAGTGAAATGAATAATTCTCTGTTCCACACTGGAAAGCAGGGATGTTAGGGTGAGCAGTTTTACTTCCTTTTGTTTGGTGTTTCCAAGAGGGGAGGAAATCCCCTGTGGGATTAAATCAAAGGGGAATTTATTTAAAGATGCATTTTTATAAGTTTGGAAACATTTTCTCTCTGTTGTTCCAATTAGATGCTTTTTTACATTTTTGTGAGCTCTTTTTTTTTTTTTTTTTAAATGACGTTCCCTTTGGGACTGCAACGGTCTCGTTTGGAAGAAGAACATCCTTCCTTTAGCGTGGCTGAAGGCTGTTATGGGAAGTGGTGTTGCTGCAGTGTTATTTAGTTCAGAGGTCCTGCTGATGAC